AGAACTTTTTTTTTTTTTGCACCAGATCATTGGTAATCAACGGCACCACCATTTATTTCGATTATCTTTTACCATCATGGGAACTATATAGGGGAATTTAAAATAATCATAAAGTTTCGTGGATCGTCCATCAACGGGATAGTCTCAAGATCTCCAACTAAGAAAATGGATGGCTTGGGTGGTTTATCCTTATATTGAGGATCAGATTGCTTTTTTTCTTTTTGTATTCCTCCATTTGTAACCTATTAGTATTCCTCGCAAAAAAACTATTAGTATTAACGACCTAACTAATATAATCAGGGAATTTGGAATCCCTCCTTTTCTCCTTTGCTTCTATTTGTTCTTCCAGAATCTTTTAATAAACCTGCGAAATAGTATCTTCCAGAATGCACTCTACTCCCTCTGTTCCTCAGTATAAGACATTTTGTCTCTATATTTAGGAACGGAGTGAGTAGCACAGAAAGAACATTTGCATATGTTGGAATGACATTATGACAACACTATCAACCAGTTTTCGCGGTCTGGGAAGTGTTTCGCTTTTACAAGGATGATGTAATCTGCAAAGCAGTTTGCTCATCCATTCCACTGTGTGATGAAACAGAGAATCAAGTGATACCACTTGAAGACGTTGCTAAGGAGTTGTATCAAAAGCTATGTATACTCAATGATAATTACAAGTCACATTATATTTACGCTTTGGAAAATATAAATGAAAACTGCACGGTTTTGTTAACATGCATGATTGATGTGTTTTTTTTCATAAATAGTTTCCTCTGTCACACACCATTTGTCATTTATATCCATAGTTTCGTTTCATAGCTCTCATCATACCATAGGTTCATAGTAATAAACATATGAAATTCAAATTGGCTTTCCCAACAGCTATCTACTGGTTGATGGTTACAGGCCGCATCTTATTCTTGAAAATATGAGGAGCCAAATACCCATGCTCAAGCTTGGCTTTGTCAAACTTATTTATCGGATGATGAGCAAGGTTGTGAATTAAGGCTTCTAAACTGCATTTTATCAGGGTTGTGCAGTGACATCACGAAACTCGAAGGGCAAACTAGAGTGCATCTTTTTTAGTGTTTAGCTTTATAAATGTCATGTGCTAATATCTACTTGCGACATGCAACAGTGCAAATATGATGAAGGACTATTCCTCGACAACCCCCTTTTTCCTACTCTGTCCTATTTCTACAATGCAATGTCACATAACATAATTTACACTCTTCGATAATCAAGATCGGAAGTGCCTCACATACGATGAAAGCTGGTCCGATTTGGTACGATAGTGCAATCCACAGTGAACCCACCTTGAGCCAGCATTGATCAACGGTGGCCATACTTCTTCGTACAGAAATCGTACATATTTTGTCGTACATGTAGCAATGCTCAATCAAGATAACCTCTCGGTTTTCAAGCATTGGTAACCCAATAGGATCATAGGCCGATATATACTATGTCTATATTTTTAGAAACCCTACTCTACAACCAGTGGCTAAATTACTCATTGGTATCACATTGTTGTTATTGGAATTAGTATCCATTTTAGGATCATATTATATTTTTACATCAAAACCCTTAATGTTAGCTAAGAGTTCCACGGCACCGCGCGGGGTGTCATCTAGTACTAATAACAAGATTAGGCACACACTCGTGCTACGACAAGTTACTTCCCTGATGAGTAAATCATTTGTCAAGCAGATTGCTACAAGTTCATTTGAATGACAACATATCCTAATCAAAGCAACAGAGAAAAGAAAGTAAAGGTATAACATCGTTAAGTAGCTAGGCACTTGGCAAGCTGGTAGTACTATCTCTGCATCCTCTTTCTAATTATAGCTACCAACAAAGCAAGTTCTAGCTTCAGGCCAACTGATTGAACTAAGGTTACAGTCAAGTGTCTAACAAAGATCACTAGCTGGTAGTATATGCATAGCAAAGAAAGCCTAGTAGAAATCATTGGATGACTAGCTAGCATATCATAAGGAACTACATCGTAAAGATGGATACCTTATGATCGCTCAATTGCAGCAATCTCCTCCTCCAACCAAAAAAGCCTAAGCCTTGGGTTCTTGGTATTGATGAAAATCTCTCGAATCATTGGGCATTTGAAAAGTCGCAGCGCCTTCACTTTTTCTGCAACAGATAGCTCTTCAATTGGCTGCTAGAGAACAATTTGTTGATATTTGTAACGATAGGCTATAGATCTTAATGCCAATGCATGCGAGAGCTTTAAGTATAACCATCCAAGGACAAAGGTATGTCTCAGTGCATCTTAAACTTTGTTATCTTGTATAAGTGCTCTCTCTTGTTTAATGAATATAATTTATCTTCTGTTTTTTGGACATAGGTTCGTAATGAAAAAGTGAAACTTTCTTTGCTAATAGAATGGTCTGTCCTATGTAACAAGTATGTCCATAAAAATAATGACGATGCCTCAACTAATTTGTTCGATGATGAAGGGGAAGACCATGAACCTGGAAAAAGCAAGCTTGTCGTAGAGAAACTTAGCGTGATATGCTATGGTGGCGTTGACAGAAAAAATTGCATATACTTCAATGTACTCATTCTCATCTTGTTCATTTGTAGTGTTTGTACATTTATTGTTTCCGTATATATCATCGTAATATAATATTTTAAGAGGTGCAATGGAATGACCATCAGGTCGAGGATTTCTAGGAGCCCAAAAAGAAACTCTGGTTAGTATCTAATCTGAAACTATTCTTCAAAAAATGCATTCAAGTGCAATGACTCCTTCAATGTTCAGCGCTTTCCCACTTAAAAATAAAGAATTTGTTTAAGAAGGCCATAGACGAAAAATATTATCACTGTCGATGAGTGCTTGATATCTTCTTTCTTCTTGTGTTTAGCCAAAATTATCAAGAAGATATAAAGCACTCACCGGCAGTGGTAAAAAATTTCGCCTATGGCCTTCTTGAACAAATTCTTTCACTTTATGTGAGGAAGCGCTGAATATTAAAGCACTCATTGCACTTGAAATACATTTTTTAAATAAAAACTTCATATTAGATACTAACCAGAGTTCCTCCATGGGCTACTAGGAATCTTCGACCCGATGGTCATTCCATTGCATATCTTAAAATTTTATATTAGAATGACATGTATGAAAACAACAAATATACCAACACTACAAATGAACAAGATAAGAATGAGGAGTACGTTGAAGTATATGCAATTTTTTCCGTCAGTGCCATCATAGCAGATTGCGCTAAATTTCTCTACAACAAGATTGCTTTTTCGAGGTTCATGGTCTTTCTCATTCATCCTCGAACAAACTAGTTGAGGCATCGCCATTATTTTTATGCACATACTTGTCCCATAGGACAAACCATTCCATAAACAAATAAAGAAAATCCTCCACTTTTTCATTACGAAAATACGTCCAAAAAAATGAAGATAAATTATATTCATTAAACAAGAGAGAGCACTTATACAAGATAACAAAGTTTAAGATGAACTGAGACATACCTCTATGCTTGGATGGTTATACTTAAAGCTCTCGCATGCATTGGTATTAAGATCTACAGCCCATCGCTACAAATATCAAGAAGAAAGTTATATTGCTTTGATTCCTTTAACTCTTCATCCAATTTTGCAGCTTGCTTCTTCCAAAAATCTATGTAGTCCTCGAGAGCCAAAGCGACATGGTTGTGCTTCCTATTTTTCATCGGCTCCACTCCCTTTTGTTCAGAGTTAGCTGATGTCGCACGCTCAGTCTCTTCTTGACGCCCCTTGGTCTTGCAAATCAGAAGACGACATACCAGCTTCAAGATTGGTAGAGGAGAAAGGGACATCATCCGTAGAGGAATCCATAGGAGAAATTGCGTCACTTGTTAGATCCACTTGCGGAATTGATATAAAGTTGAGATCGCCTGAAGCAACACTTCCTGCTCCAAAAAAAGAAAAATATCAACATATTAGTAATGTCCAAGGGAGTCTCAACAATAAAAACAAGAAATAAACAGGAACGCCTTCAATGGGAATGCAATCTATGTAGTATGTGCTACTGTAACTTGCTTATAATCATGTGTGTTCGAAGCAAAGTAGATTACAGGGGTCCTACTTAAGTTAACTGAAATAACTAACACTAGTTGTTTGCAAGATAACCTAGATTGAAACTAAGTAAACTACTTGTCCTTAATTTACTATCTCCCATTCCAGAAAGAAAGAAAAAGAACACCTCAAACTGGACCTAAGTCCCTTCAAAGATGAAGACATCGTGTAGGATTCATAATTGTGAGGTGAAAGCAAACGATGCATATACTCCTTCCGTCCCAAAATTCTTGTCTTAGATTTGTCTAGATACGGATGTATCTAACACTAAAATGTAACTAGATACATCCATATCTAGACAAATTTAAGACGAGAATTTTGGGACGGAGGGAGTACTATTTTTGCTAAACAATTTCAGAACACATAATAAATGCAAGACGCGCATGAACATAAGCAGGAACATAAGAAGATGAAGTGCATTAGCTACTAGGCTAGGAAACACATGATACAAGAAACATACCTTCATGCAGGGAAGCCAATGCCTTGAAGAGCATGAATGGCTTCAAACAGAACTTCTTTACCCTCGGATGGTCCTATTGAATGCAGCAACATTGTATGGTTAGGATCAATAAAACAATGCCTTGAAGAGCATGAACGCAGTGAACACACGATATATCAAGAAAAGAGCTAACCTTAATAAGCTTATCCCATATTACAGGTTCAGCAATGATTATGCAAAGTGTATCATCCCATCCTGTGTCACTCTGTTTCCGACAATCTCTCACTGCCTTGTAATTTCCTTCTCCTTCTCTTGGATTTGTTGCTTGGTAAAATGAGCTAGTGGAAACTTCTGATTGAATGTATTTGTAATGCTAGTCCACCCTTCAGCCAACCACCCATTTTGACCTCTATAGATGGGATTGTTGTGGTCAAGCATTATATCAACAAGACCTTTCTCATATGCATGGTCCCAAGACGCCCTAGGCGCTGCCATAGATTACGTTGTGTATAAACAGAATTAAGAACATTCTGCATGACAGTAACAGAACAAACACATAATTAAGAGCAGTAGTTTTGCAGAATTTAAGCTTCCTCAAAGATAGTGTAAAAGGGATGATTGCGTCATATACCTTTCTTGTTCCGAGTGAAATATTCTCAATGAACGACAAATTGAAAGGCACCAAGCAATTGAAAACAACGTCTTCGGATAAAGCAAAACACTTATAATGTCAAGGCACCTACATTCGACACATGATTAAATACTTATCAGTTTGTGGCACAAAGGATGCATATAGTATTTTTGCTAAACAATTTCAGAACACATAATGCATTCAAGAAGCGCATGAATATGCACTGGCTACCACATATTACAGAACAGATTGCTAAGCAATAATAATACCATCTGAGAACCAGTAGGTAGCAGCCTAGGAATAGAGTAAATACAAACATAGTGACATTCTAATAACATCAATGAATATGAAACTTGTGTGAATCAACATCAATGAATTTCACACCAAGTACAACCTATCAAATGCTGGTAGTACAGAGTGCACAAGAAACTACAGAAGCTACATGTGTGCCAAGTAATCATAGATATTTCTATATTTTTAATCTGCCATAGAAAAATGTAATATCCAACAAATGACATGTTAACAGCAAGCTAGCAGAAAAACAAACCTATAGGAAGTTGACTGAACTAAACCTGCACAAAGCTGGCACTCAACACTCAGTTGTTCATGTCCTAAACGACATAGTAATTACCACTTTGGCACTCCGCCAGAACACAGGTTAGCAGCGATTACCCATCACTAATTCTTCCAAGTTATGTCAATATACGTACTAGTATGACTAAATAATTATCTATCTTACTGCTCCCACTTGTCATTTTGATGGCAGAAAGAAAAACACCAATCATCAATTCAGTCTTTAGTGGCAAGGAACAACAATTTTTCTTCCATAATAATTTGTTGGGATCTTCCATGAGAACAAATCAAGCATGCTAGGGGCTAGGGGGAGTTGCAAACAAAATAAAGCAGACCAAAGAGGAGGTTTTTGGATCTGCACAGAGCTCATCTTGTGTCCGCGAATGGCAGGGAATGCATCACCATGGAGAAGAAAAACACTCGGGTAGAAGAGGAGGAGGGGATACCTTGGTGAAAGAGGATGACCTCCTGGCCGTCGTCTTTGCCGGAGGTGAGGGAACTTCAAGGCGGAGAGAGATCTAGAGGTGACGACCTCGGTCGCCGTCGCCCCCGCCAGAGGGGCGGAGCGTGGAGGTGGAGGGAGATGGGGGGTGCACCACTTCCAGTTGCCGGAGGAGGGCCGGGGGACGGTGGAGCGTTGGACGAAGAAGGGCGGAGCGCTGGACAGCGGAGGAGTTCTAGATCTGGTCGCCGCCGCCTCTCGTTCACGAGACCAAGCGACGAGGGTTTTCTCCCTGACCTCACAAGGCATGGAAGCGTCACACGGGGAAAGGGTGGGGCTGCCCCTGTCTCTTGGGCCTCCAAATGCGCTGGTGGATCGCCCGGGGAAAATTTAGTCCGTGGTTTCTTGGCCCGAGGAAAAGCCAAGGATTCCCCCAGGATCCCGTATTCCCGTGAAACCAAATGAGGCCATACTGAACAATCCTTCCCTCTGGAGCATCTTCGCCACTGGGGCCTGGGACGCAGGATGTACAGTAGTAACCATTGTGTCGACGCCAATCACGGTGCTGAGGAACTGGGAGATCGGACGAAGCTTCCCCCAAGGACTACTCCAGAGTAACAACCATCTCAAACGTGTAAACAGATCAGCAAAATATATCGACTTACCATACCAGTTGTGGCCTATGAGGAGCTTCAGCTCACACCATCAGCATCGACACAGCGAGAGAGTGTCAATTCTGAGCCAGCCGAGTTTCAAATAAGCCCAAAGATTCAGTACAGGTCAAAACTGAAAAACATAGCAACTATTAACAGGATGCATCAAGTTCAGTACTCACATTGGTTGTCAAACCAAACTTAGTGGATGACCTGTTCCATCTCCATTTACCGTAACAGGTGATGCAGCACTCAAACAATGATTACATTTATCAAGTCCTAACTCATCTAGCTGAAGAAAATGCTCAGAGACAAATTCCTGGTTCAGAGAAGGAAAAGGCTGACCATGGAGAAGGTTGAGATTTATGTATGATGGATAGCTCACCCTCACCCATGCAGTGACTGCAAATATGCAAAGGTGATTAGGTGAATATATAAGCATGTAACATTGAGATTTTCATGTTCAAGTGCAAAAACCAATGAGCCAACCATCTTTCCCACAATTCTAGCATCCGGCATACAATGCACTTAAACCATGACGAAAGCCCATACAACTCCAAAACAAACAGAAGTTGTGTTATCCCTGCAAACTCATCCAAGAGTTCTAACATGGTACCTTTCATTTCAGAATCCAAACCTAGCTGCATTCCGTTTCAAAAAAAAACCTAGCTGGATAAATGGTAGCCTCAAGCTGGGCACTATAAGTTAGTACTGTAGCACAATGAGTTTCATCAGAATTCAGGTGCTAGCAGCCCAAGTTGCAGAGTACGCATCAGGAGTTTCCGAATGCGGTAATAAGAATGAAACATTGCTGCCATTTAGATGGTTAGTGCAGATTCAGAACATGTGAACCTACAGCAGGATCCTTCATACCGCAACTTCAGCTGGCGGTTTCCCTTGGCAAGCAGCTGCGTAGGCTTCAGCAAGGCCTGGAAGAACATGCCTATGAGCATCTATATGCCTGCGCTGAAATGTCTTCTCACTAGGCGTGATCATCGTGTAGAAGCTCTGATTTTTCTGAATCAATCCTTTCTCCTGGAGCACCTTCATCACATAATGCCGAGGGACCAGTCGGCACTTCAGGCTGTACATCACGATTGAGGGCCTGGCAAGGATGTACCTGGTGTCAACACCGACCACCTTGGTCAGGAACTCCTTAGCACTGCGAAGCTTCTCCCCAGAGATCCTCAGCACCGTTGGGTTGATCCTCACCACGTTGGTCACCTCAGCCTCAGACCACCCAAGAATCTCCTCGAAGAGCTTGAGCTTGGCTGCCATAGTCTCGGCCCCAAGGCCCGTCGTCGTGGTCACTGCCTGCCTGAACACAAGCGAACCGCGAGGCACGCCGAGCTTATCAGCTCGCTCCAGGATGGACATTACGGTCTTGGGGCTGCTGGTGAGCAGTCTCGAGTTGGGCACGCACATCTTGGCAATATCGTCGGCACTTAACCCACTCTCCAGTAGCACCGCGATGTTGGGCTTGACCACCCGCTCGAGGTCCGACGTGAGGAGGTAGTAGTTGCGCCTGAGGATGCGGATGAACTTCTCCGGCGACCCCAGGAAGGGCAACCAGAACCCGAGCTTCTCCTGGATGCTGATGGAGCGGAAGACGCCGGGGGCCATGCGGAGGAAGGACCGGACGTGGTCCTCGGAGAGGCCATAGCCGCGTAAGGTGGCGACGCGGGCCTTGAGGGTGTTTTCGACGCTGCAGTTGAGGATCCGCGGGTCGCGGGCGACGACGTGGGCGATGTCGGCCTTGGAGAGGCGGAGGGTGGGGCCGGCGAGGTAGGCGAGGACGGAGTCGGCGTTGGAGGTGGACTTGCAGTGGGAGACGTGCTTGGCGGCCTTCAGGGCTTGCTCCGGCGTGAGGCCGCAGGTGGTGACGAGGTAGTCGTCGACGGCGAAGGGGTGCGGCGGGGCGTCGGTGGCGGCCGAGGTGGATAAGAGGGCGCGACGGAGAGAGAAGATCACGGGTGAGGCGGGGAGACGGAGCGACAGGAGTTGCTTGTGGAAGAGAAGCATCGCGGCGGCGGCGGCGGCGGTGGAGTAGGTATTGCAAGGAGAGTCCGCCGCTCCGTCTTTGACCTCTCGCGGCCTCGCCGCAGAACCACTTTAATCCTACAATTTGTTGGGCCGGATTGGGACAACGAAAGCTCTAGTCCAGTTCACTCTTGGGCCTAAAATGACACCACTTTATTCCTACACAAGTTGTTTACTCTCCTACGTACAAGGGAATTAGTCGTGATAATAAAAGTAGGAATGCTGTCACTAGAACGGACCATCTATGCATAGTCATCTCAGGTCCACGCATGTTGAAGATAGTTGTTATAAAATTGATAGAACCTAAAATTGATGAAATACCTGATAGATGAAGACTAAAAATTGCTAAATCAACTGCTCCTCCAGAATGGCTGGTAATACCACTTAAGGGCGGATAGACTGTCCACCCAATGCCGTTGCCCACTTCTACTAAGGTTGAGCTTAATAGGAGCAAGAGACTTGGTGGCAACAACCAGAATGATATATTATTTAATCGTGGAAATGCCATGTCAGGTGCACCTATCAGAAACGGGGATCCAATCTCTCCCTACATATTCTTGTTGGCAGCATAGAACTTTTCGTGCCTCATAAAAAGTCAAAATCAGTCTTCGCAGATCAGTGGGATTAAAGTGGCAGAATCGCCACCATCAATCACCCATTTACTCTTTCGTCTTTGCGGATGACAGTCTGCTGTTCGTCAAAGCCAATGTTGAGGGAGCTAGTTTGGTGTCTTCTTTGTTCGATACTTATTGTCAGGCATCTGGGCGGAAAATTAATCATGATAAGTCATCGGTTTTCTTTAGCAAAGGTTGCTCACAGACAGTTAAAGAGGAAATGAAAACTATCATGAACATTCAGAATGAGAGCTTATATGAGAAATACCTGGGCATGCCCACTGATATAGGTTTTGCAAGAATGGGGCCTTTAAGTATTTGAAAGAAAGAGTATGGAGCAAAGTAAAAAACATGGATGGAAAAAAATCTTTCGTCGGGTTGAAAGGAAGTGTTAATTAAGTCCGTTGCCAAGCAGTACCAGTTTATTCCATGTCCTGCTTCAAACTACCCCGAGGATTGTGCCACCACATCAACTCCATCATTCGGAAATTCTGGTGGGGTAGTCGGCGGGGCGAACGAAAAACATGTTGGGTCTCGTGGGAGGTAATGACGAGACCATAATATCAAGGAGGGTTGGGATTCACAGATATTGAGCTTTTCAACCTCGCCCTACTCGCTCAGCAAGCTTGGCGAATTTTGCAATCTCCGGACACCCTCAACGCAAAAAATTTGAAGGCTCTTTATTTTCAAATGACTAACTTTCTTGATGTAGAGCTTGGCACCCAACCTTCTCAAATCTGGAGGGTGATCATAGAGGGAAAGGAAATACTAACCCAAGGCCTCATCTGGCGCACTGGGGATGGACAATCGACACATGTATGGCAACATAATTGGTTCAGATCGCTGTGGTGTTAGAAAAACGATGGAGCGCATGGATGTAGGCAACCAATTATGTTGTGGTGTTAGAAAAACGATGGAGCGCATGGATGTAGGCAACCATAGAAAAACTATGGAGCACATTGGGAGGAACAAAGCCCCATGGCCACTCATTTGTTTATCCGGAGATACTTGAAAGATCTAGAGCTAGCCTCATCCAAACAATCATCCCAGCCTGGGCGCCAACCTCTAGCACAAGCTCGTTCATGAATCCCTCCCCCCACACGACTGTAGCAAGGTCAATGTTGACGCGACTGTATGTAAGAATCTGCAAGTTGGAGCTATCAGTGCAGTTTGCAGGAATGAACAGGGCGTTTATATTGGCTCCTCGGCCTTGATCCTTCATGGTTTGATGGATCCAAATACGCACCATCCTTAGATCCTTCTCCTACGCTGCCGAGGAATCTTGCTCGGGGGCCAAATGCCTTATCGCTTGGAAAAATGTTTGCAAACCCAAAGCTGTTGACCGACTCGGTATTAAAAATCTGCTTCTCCGAAACAATTGTCTCCTCATGAAATTTGCTTTCAAACTTCTCCAAAAAACCATACCTATGGGCCAACTGGTTCTTCCAACACTACTCCCTTGACTTCGCGAATAAGCTTCACAACCCATCCTACCTCTGGACTATCATAAAAAACCAACTCCACTCCCTCCGAAAAATCACTTTCATCCTTACCAACAACGCTGCCACCTTCTTCTGGCTAGAAATTTGGCTTTTTTCACACCACTCGCGGACATTTACCCACAGCTCTTCTCTCGCTCCACATCACCCTTGTCCTGGTTTCGACTATCATGCAGAATGGTTTACTCACTACTCTACGGAACCGCCTAACCAATGTTGCTTCTATAGAGCTTGTGTTTGTTTTGTCTTTGTTGCGGGATGTCATCACCAACGACGCGCTCGACGACAGGTTCCTCACCCATGACTTCTCATTCGCCTCGAGGTGCGCTTACTCGCTGCTCTTCTCCGACCAAGAGATAGATCTCAACAGGGAGCACATCTGGAGCTCCAACACACCTATTAAGGTCAAGATCTTTGGTTGGCTCCTCTGTCGTGACAGGCTGAGCACGATGGAAAACTTGCATCACAAGACCATCACCTCGGATTCAACAATGCCCTCGGTG